AGCAGTAGCAGTAGAAAGAGCAGTAGCAGCAAGAGCAGCAGTAACAGCAGTACGGGCAGGGCAGTGCTCACCAGTGGCGAGAAGGGCAGGCGTACGACGGCGGCAACGGCGAGGCCGCTACCACTGTAGGGCGAGGGCTCCGCGGCAGCTGCAGGGGCGGCTGCTCCAGGGGCGGCAGTTGCAGGGGCGGCTGCTCCAGGGGCGGCTGCTCCAGGGGCGGCTGCTGCAGGGGCGGCTGAACCAGGGGCGGCTGCTGCAGGGGCGGCTGCTGCAGGGGCGGCTGCTGCAGTGGCGGCTGCTCCAGGGGCGGCTGCTGCAGGGGTGGCTGCTCAGGGGCGGCTGCTGCAGGGGCGGCTGCTCCAGGGGCGGCTACTGCAGGGGTGGCTGCTCCAGGGGCGGCTGCTGCAGTGGCGGCTGCTCCTGGGGCGGCTGCGTCAGGGACGGCTGCTGCAGTGGCGGCTGCTCCAGGGGCGGCTGCGGCAGGGGCGGCTGCTCCAGGGGCGGCTGCTTCAGGGGCGGCTGCTCCAGGGGTGGCTGCTGCAGGGGAGGCTGCTCCAGGGGCGGCTGCTGCAGGGGTGGCTGCTCCAGGGGCGGCTGCTGCAGTGGCGGCTGCTCCTAGGGCGGCTGCTTCAGGGGCGGCTGCTCCAGGGGCGGCTGCTGCAAGGGAGACTGCTCCAGGGGCGGCTGCTGCAGTGGCGGCTGCTCCAGGGGCGGCTGCTGCAGGGGCGGCTGCTCCAGGGGCGGCTGCTGCAGTGGCGGCTGCTCCAGGGGCGGCTGCTGCAGGGGCGGCTGCTCCAGGGGCGGCTGCTGCAGTGGCGGCTGCTCCAGGGGCGGCTGCTGCAGTGGCGGCTGCTCCAGGGGCGGCTGCTGCAGGGGAGACTGCTCCAGGGGCGGCTGCTGCAGGGGCGGCTGCTCCAGGGGCGGCTGCTGCAGTGGCGGCTGCTCCAGGGGCGGCTGCTGCAGTGGCGGCTGCTCCAGGGGCGGCTGCTGCAGGGGCGGCTGCTCCAGGGGCGGCTGCTGCAGTGGCGGCTGCTCCAGGGGCGGCTGCTGCAGTGGCGGCTGCTCCAGGGGCGGCTGCTGCAGTGGCGGCTGCTCCAGGGGCGGCTGCTGCAGGGGCGGCTGCTCCAGGGGCGGCTGCTGCAGTGGCGGCTGCTCCAGGGGCGGCTGCTGCAGTGGCGGCTGCTCCAGGGGCGGCTGCTGCAGGGGTGGCTGCTCCAGGGGCGGCTGCTGCAGTGGCGGCTGCTCCAGGGGCGGGTTAGGGCAGGACGCCTCGGCGGGCAGGGGAGACGCCACGCGGGTCCCGCAGATGTGTCGCGACGCACAGGAGCCGTGCCTCGCGGGTCCCGCAGGGGCGACGCGACGAGGCGGGGGCGACGCGGCGGGGCCGCGACTGGCGACGGGGCGAGGTCGCGAAGGGGCCGCGAAGGGAGCCGTGAGGGGGGGCCGCGAAGGGGCCGCGAGGGGGGCCGCGAGGGGGGCCGCGAGGGGGCCGTGAAGGGGCCGCGAAGGGAGCCGTGAGGGGGGGCCACGAGGGGGGGCAGTGAAGGGGCCGCGAAGGGGCTGCGAAGGGGCCACGAAGGGGCCGCGAGGGGGCCGCGAGGGGGCCGCGAAGGGGCCGCGAAGGGGCCGTGAAGGGGCCGCGAAGGGGCCGTGAAGGGGCCGTGAAGGGGCCGTGAAGGTGCCGCGAAGGGGCCGTGAAGGGGCCGCGAAGGGGCCGTGAAGGGGCCGTGAAGGGGCCGTGAAGGTGCCGCGAAGGGGCCGTGAAGGGGCCGCGAAGGGGCCGCGAAGGGAGGCCGCGAAGGGGCCACGAAGGGCCTGAAGGGGCCGCGAAGGGCCGTGAGAGGGGCCGTGAGAGGCCGTGAGAGGGGCCGCTACGGGGCCGTAGGGGAGCGCGACGGGCCACTAAGGGCAGGGGACGCGACGGGAGGGTAGGCACACGGGGCGCGACTCGGGCAGGGGTGAAGCGCGCTCCGGGCAGAACGATATTCGGTGGGCCCTAGGAAACGTTCCCACTAGGGAACCTGCTCTATATCATGTGAAAGAACGAGGAATGAATGAACTAGCAAGCAGGTGGGTACACGTAGGAAAACCTAAAAGTGTTGTACCCCATATTGTCTACCCCACTACAGCCTACACAGACTATAGTATATGAGTTTGACATTTCTAGCATAGGATAATTATATACATGCATGAATTGCTTGATTTCATAGCACCGAGCTAGGTTGCGTGCACCGAATTCTGGGCTTTTCGGTTGTCATCGAATTGCCTTCTACCGAATTCGGGAAGGATCTGTTCGGGACGCTTCGCGACCCTCGGAACCTTCGCGTAACACCTGGTTACTAGGCCTTGTGTCGCTATATATAGCCTCGTGTTGTACCCCGGTGATGATTTAATTCAGACTTTCTTTTATGAGCTCGATCCTAGATCCTCACACCGTGTAGCATGATTTCGTGTGAGATGTCCGGCTTCAGCCCTCCGACGTATCGGTCCACCCGCTCCGCTACTTGCATGTGGCCGACTTGCTCGCATAATGCGAGAAAACCACTCGTATAGTCGTGGACTGATCCGAGCTGCCGCCAAGTACGCAGCCTCTGACGCGCCGAAATAGAAGTCTCGATCGGCTCGAAGCGCGCCCGAAGCCCTGCGCACCACCCATCCCACGTGCTGTACTGGGTGGTTTCGCAAAATGAACTCCAATTGACGGCTGGACCCGTGGGCCCTTCCTCTTGCGACGGCAGCTCGTAGGCGCGTGGCGACATCACGATGACTCGCCACCAGTCCATGGCGGGGCCTCTCAGCAGCGAGACCGCGTATTGAATCTTCGCTGCGTCCGACTCGACGTAATTCGCGTCGAAAAAAACGTTCATCGTGAAGACCCACGATTGAACCGTCGGACCTCCACGTTGGCTCGGGTCGAAACAGGGCGGGCGCTACGGCTTGAGTGGCATTGGTGTCATGATGGCATGGTCGCCACTTGTCGCTGCAAACTCCACATGCCGACGGGCTTCGCAAGGCTTCAGCGGGCTTGGTGCGGCCCTGTTCCTCTCCATGCCAAGCATTGATTGAGCGTCGCCATCACTGGCTGCGCTAGAGCGTTGTCCCACGCTGTCCTTTTGTGTCGGTGTGCCTGATGAGATGACGATCGGATCCTCCGACTGTGCGGGTACATTTGCAGGTGTGTGTGGTGGTGCTGAAGCATTCACCGTGGATTGCTGTCGAGCGGAGTCGCGTTCCGCCGTGAGTATAGGATTTTCGCGTGCCGACTCTTTGATTTGTCGCACGAGACGGTCGAGTTGCTCCTGCGTCAGTGTCGCGAGAGTGAATTCGGCCATAGGGGGGAATGTCGGGCAAGCTCTGTGAGAATGAGAACGAGAATGAGCGAACTATGAAAATGAAGTGAGTACAAATGTGAAACCCTAATTGGTTGTACCCCCTATGGGATACCCCACTATAGCCTACACAACAGCATAAGCTATAATGTTCTGACAAGCTCAGCGAGAGCCTCGGTCGTGGCCGTGCGTGCTTACGAGAGAGCACTTCGACCGGCGATGCTTGTTTCGCTGAGAGACATCTACCCCCCCAAAAAATTGAAATAGTGGGGGAAGCGAAGGTGTGGGTGCGGTCCGAGAAGAGATCGTAGGCTCTGAATACCAAGGTTACGAGTGCAATTGAATGAGTGAGCGAGAATTGCACTATCGAAGCAAGAGTACAATGAGCGAATGCATGAGCGAATAATATATAGCGGAACAACAGTGGTAACGATAATGTGTGAAAATGGGGTGCGCGACGGGCCTAGCGCCGAGGTTGGGAAAGTGTCGAGGTGGAGATAGCGCGGGTTACCAACCGAACCGTGAGGTTGGGTCGCGTCGTGAACAGTGGCGGGAACAGTGTCGAGGCGAATGTCGTGAGTGGCAACGAAATTCTGTTGGGTGCTGTTGGCGGGAACAATGGGGTGCGCGCTGATCAGGGACGCGAAGTAAGGAAAAGGACATTTCCTTACACCAGCACAAAAAAGATGTGCACCAACACATGGAATCAAACCCTGCTCTTCACTCATTAATTTTCTATGCCTAATAGTATTTTTCAGAAGAAACTGCCTTCTAATAGGTGTACGGATCTTTCCATATCATGATCGTACTATTTGCTGGCTCTCGTGGTGTGGGAGGCAGACCGCAACGCCAAGGTTTTGTCCCGATTTTGGGACGCAGGCGGCTCGACATTCCCAGCGGCCCCAAGCCATCGAACCAACCTAATAGCAACAGCAGCAGACTCAAGCGGTGAGCCAAGCACCTCGGGAGTCGGGACCATCTTGCCTGTTACTAGTCCACTCCGGGCTTGCCGCGAGCAGCTGGCATGCCATGCCAAGCTGCGCGACTGGTGGTCAGCACATGGTGCGAGCTCGAGCATGAGCGGTGTGTTGCTGACTGTGCGGCAGGAGAAGTCCCAAGGTAAGCCCGCCAGCACACTTTGACCCACGGTGCCCCCCCCCTCCCTTTCTCTCTACGCTCCCAGATCACTCTATTGTCACCCAGCAACTATTCCCTATGTTTCTTCATGAAGCATCAGAGCAAGCTTCCCGGTCAGATGTGACTGGTTCACTCCTGGTTTTCAGGTGAAGGCTGCATGACAGGGGAAGCAAGTGTTGGCGCGATCGTCTATAGTTCTCGGGCTTTGGGATGGAATTTACCCTTTTTCCCTCCCGTGATTGTTACGGCGAGTCGTTGAAAGTTACGCCTCGTGGAAGGCACAGAGCTCATCGCCTAGGGGCAAAGCCGCGCGGCTTATACTGGCTGATTAGCCTCAGCAAGCAGATTCGAAAGAGATTCAAAGCGTTGCGCGAAGGCAGGCGGCGATCGTCTGGGACGTGTCGCCGAGATTCGGAGTTGTCTCAAGAGGAGAGGCGGGCTCTTCTCACAGAATCGTCCTCGTCAGAATCGGCCTCCGCGTCAGCTCATAGCGGATCCGACGCCAACCACGCTCGTGAAGGTCGCTCGAGCAGCATGGCATTCGTATTTAAGGCCACCGGAAGGGATTCCGGCCGACCGCAGACATCCTCTTCCCCGTCTGCCGGCGCGAAGAAAGGCCTTTCCCCGCTCGGCAGCCCCGAGCAGCCCCCTGGCAGTGAAGCGCCTGTGTCTGCCCAGGCGACGAGTCGTCTCCGTTCCGCCGGCGCCACACCTACGCCCGCGTTAACCCCTCACATGAAGCGCACTCCGTCCTCGTTGTCGGGCTCGCCGTTAGCGCCCAAGTATGGCGAGGGAGCGTCATCTATTTTAACGGCCGCCGGTGGACGGGCCGGCAATCCGTCAAGCACTGCAACACGCCGTGGAGGAGCCACTGGCGGCGGCGATGGCGGCATCCGCGGCTCCCCTTTGCCGTTCTCGCTGCGTCGACCCGCCCTGAGTGCAAGCGGTAGTGCGGGAGATAGTCCGGGAGGAGATGATGGTGTTCCTTCCGGTGCTGGTGCTGGTGCTGGTGATGGTGGTGGTGGTGGTGGTGGTGGTGGCTCGGAGAGGGACGGAAGTGGGACGACGGACAGCAGTGTGGGGAGTGGGATACTCACCGCCGCCGATATTTTGGCATATCGCGCTACTAGTAGCTCAACGCGCAAAGGATCGCTGCACGCCGGTCAGAGTCGCTCCGCGCACCGCCAGCGCCACGAAGACCAAAGTGCGCATGGGCACTTGCCTCGACACCGCCAGCAGAAGTCGCTGGACGATCGTGAGTCGCTTTCATTCCGTCAGGGTTTCCGTCATGGGCCGGGGCTAGGCGGGAGTCCCAGCAGCAATCGCGTGGCGCAGCCTTCAAAAGAGGCAGCGGCCGCTAAGTCCGCCCACAGGCCCGCTGCCGTGGCGGCGACGACGGATGCCGCGTCGAGTGCTGGTTCGGTGGCTTCTGACTCATCCGACGTCAGCACCCGAGCCTCTGAGTCAGCCTCGGCCAGTCGTCGTGGCGGCCATGCGAGCCCGCGTGCGAAGCCGATGGACGCTCGTCACAACTCGTCGTCGTCGCTATGGAGGTCACCATCCGCGTCGTTCCCCTCCCCCCCTTCTGCATCTGCTGCCGCCGCGTCAGCAGGCGCGAAGTCAAGAGGCGAGGCGGGCGCGTCGCCGTTGTCAGCAAGAGCGCCGCAGCAAGCGGCAGCCCGCGCCATGATGCTGCGACGGTCACGTAGCTTCTCCACGTTCTCGCGGCCCCCTGCTACCGGTGCGCCTGCTACGACCGGCGCGATTGCTGGAGCTAGTTCCGCGGACGGCAGCAACAGTGGCGCTCATTCCGCGTGCAGCAGCGCTGTTTCCGCGTGCGCCTCTGGCGGTAAACGGAACGAGAGGGATGGCGGAGGCGGAAGCACGAGCACGAGCAACAAGCTGCTTCGAAGCCACAGCGTCGAGGGCAGCTGCGACGTGGGCGGCGAGAGTGCGGGCGATAGCAACGCGCTGTTTGGTCGGGCGGGAGGTGCGAGCAGCAAGAGCAGCAGAGTCAAGGGGGCCCGTTCGCGATACTGTCATCCTCGATACGCGCAACAGCACCATCTCGACGCGCCGTCGTCGGCTGGCAGTGCAGCCTCGGCGCGCCGAGCGGGAGCGGCGTGGAACGTGGTGGACGCGCAGATGGCGGATTGGGGCTTGCTGGCAGGAATTGGGGCCACGGGTGATGCTCCTCGCGCGGATTCTGGTCCTGCTGCTTCTGCTCGCACAGCTCGTAGCGCTCGCGCGGGTTCTGGAGCGAGTGAGCGCAGCGGCTCTACTCCTACTGGGAGCCGCCCCGCGCTCTCGAGGTCGCGATCGGGATTGAGTACGGCGGTGTTTCGCCGACTGTCGTTCTCGTGCGAGGGCGACGAGGCGACTGGCGAGGAGTGCGGGCTGGTCACCGAGAGTCACAGTGAGGAGGAGCAGGAAGGGGAGGGTACGGGAGGAGGCAGTGCGAGGACGACCGCACTTGCTGCTTCGGATTATGATGAGCTTTATGGGACGGGAAGGGTGAGTGGAAACGCCGCGCTTGCAGCACCACGCATAGCGTGCTGATTACTCGCGCACATACCGCCGTTCAGTCCTCTCCCCGTTCAGCCTCGTCCCCTTCCTTGCCTGAAGGCTTGTGCTGAGATGCGATGCAGGTGGCGCGAGGCGACATGGCGTCGCGCGGGCTGGACTGCCGGTGGTGGGACAAGATCCGAGACGAGGTGAGGCGGGATAGTGAGGACAGCGGGTCTGAAAGTTAAGAGCATTGTAGGGAACCTGCCGCGTCTAATTTCTATATATTTTTGTTAAACTACTGCGTAACGATTCGTCGTTCCCATGCGACCTGTGTGTTGCTCTGCAGCTCGACGCACTCCGCGCGTTGGTGGAGGAATCCGCGAGCACTGCGGCCCGCTCGCACCCAGCTGCCACCACTGCAGCTACTGCCGCTCCTCCACAAGCATCACCTGGGCAGGATCATCGTCAGTCCCCGCGCTTACGTCGAGGCATGTTGAAACCAAGCACGAAGGGGGACGAGCAAGCACCACTGCTTGCAGCCGACGCTGGCGGTGGTGCGGTGCTTGCGTGGCTGGGGCATGCGAGGCGCGAACTGGAGAGCATTGTTGGAGGGCGAGGGGGGGGATGTGGCGTGGAGTGCGGTGATGGAGAACATGCGCAGGTGTGTACACGCATTCAACTTGTAATCATTGGCGTTGTTCTGCAGGCGTTATTGGCGCCGCACCAATTTGGCCGCCGTGGCCTTCCATGTAATTTCTAGGCGCATTCATGCGGGTCGTGTTGCACGGAAATTGCTGCCCCGCATAACTTGTGCGGAGGCTGATGCTAGCTCCCGAGTTAGAATCAGCACCGCACAAGTTGTGCGACCATTTGCCCGGCGAAGCAACAACTTCGAGCCTGCAGACGGTTAAATTTGTGCGCCGCATAAGTGGTGTTCTGCAGGCGAGAGCGTTAAATTTGGCGCGAACAGGTTTGGCAGGACCTCTCTTATCACCAAACCTTGATAGGCAGAATACCACCTATCAACGAAGATTCTGCGGACCCAGTTTCTGGAAATTTAACGCCTACAGAACAGCACCATTTAGCCAACGGAACTTACGTATGTATTTTCCTGTTTTTTCACGAATAACAATTTTGAAGAATGAGTTTAGGCCCAAGCTTTTCTCCCCTTCCTTGTACAATCGATAACAGCGTGATGGAATGCTACAGAAATTGAAGTCGCAGGAGCGTTGCGTCGCCGGCAGCAGCAGTGATACTTCAGACAACTCCTCTTGTACCAGTGCCAACAGCAGCTCCTTTGGTGGAACCACCGACACTGCCGTGACGGAGAATGACGCTGACGCCCTTGGTGAAGCAGGGGAGCTTGGCGAATGTTCGGAGGCCGACATTTTTAGTCTCCTTGCGACACAGTCGAATCAGGTAGTCAAGAAGATTTTGCTGCCATAAGTCAAAGGAACTGCAGCATGAGGTGCCAGTTGGCTGGTGGAGGTGTGAATGTTGATGAATGAGCTGTGCTTGACACACCTAGTGTGCCACGTCATGTGCACATGCAACCTCAACGTGAGGGAATGAAGGAGGGCTGAAGGGATATGGTTGGAGGAGGTAGGGTGGGGGAGGAGGGAGACAACGTGGGGTCACAACAAGAGGAGTTTCAGGTTTGGGGGGGAGGGGGGGGGATGGGTGTCTGCAAGGACGTGTTTTGAGGCATTTCGCAACACAAGAGCATCGCTGATTGGATTTGCAGCACTCACTACTGTGTACATTTTCCTGCCATGCTCTCCCCAATTCTGTGCTGGTTTCTGTCAACTCTTTAGCCTGGTCACGCCTATATTACTTCACACTGTGGCTCTGCAGAATCTGCCACGTCTGATTCCATCGCTCCTTATTTTTTAATCTTATCTTGTGACCCCTCCTTCTCCCTGTATCGCCTTTTTTTGCCCTTCCCTGTATCGCTCCTCATTCTATCGGCCCGTCTGTCACTCTTCATTCTATCACCGCCCATTTCAGTTCATCCGTCTGCCAGCCTTCTCCTGGGACGCCCTTGCTGAAGGGCCCTCTGGTGTCGTCCTGGGGAGACGGGCCATTCGCATTCAGCAGCAGCGCAGCCACACACACACGAATTGTCAGTATCTCTTGCCACAACAACCTGGGTGGCAGCATCAAGATGAGCAGCAGCAGCAGCAGCAGCAGTGGCGCCAGCAGAATAGGGGAATCACTATCCTGGAAAGGCGAGGAGTTGGTCACTGTTCGCTTGGAGGTTTGTTTTTCGTGGAGACAGATCCGGGTGAGGAGAGGCAGGCTGACATTGAATTCGCGAGTACCTGCAGCAGCAGTGCCAGCAGCAGCAGCAGCAGCAGTGGTAGAAGCGAGGCTGGTAATGATGGCCCTTGGCTCTTGAGAATTCCTGAGGACTCTCTGCATAAGTCCCCTGCATGCTACCCAGCAGAGACAGCAACAGAGGCTGCAGCAGGCGAGACTAAGGAAGGAGCGGTGGAAGCAGCAGAAGGTGCAGCAGGCGGCAGTGAGTCAGTGGACGCCGCCAGCTTACAGCAGGCCACACTCCCTGCCAGGAGCATTACAGAAGACACTGCTCCACACGCCCAAGCACACCTCCCTGCGCCTGTGCCTCCTGCTCTGCGTACCCCAGCGGCACTGCCATCGGCAGGGGGGTGGCTGGGCCGGCCCAGAGGGAAGCCAAGCGGTGCTGGCTTGATTGGTGCGAGGGCAGCGGGAGGAGGAGGGAAAAGAGCCGGGGAGGTGGTTCTTTTAGGGAGGGGGAAAGAGGAGCACCTGGAGAACCATATGGTGGTGAGTGATTTGCAACTTCGCCTGCTCGTCCTTGGATTCCCAACGTTTCTCTTCCTTGCTGCTTGTGAGGAATTATCCTACCATGGTTCGGGTTTCACTTACGTTGCCTGCTCTATCCTCACCACCTACTCTCCTCCCACATTCCCTCTCCTCCTCTGTATCTCCATGTCCCGTCGCTCCCGTCAATTTGCTGCGACCAACAATGAGCAGAGGTTCTGGGCGCGGGAGAGGGGGTACCTACACATGCTGGGCCTGCCATCGTCGCACCAAGGCGCTGCCGTGGGGCATGCACAAGGCGCTGCCGTGGGGCATGCACAAGGCGCCGGTGTCACCAGTGGGGCCCACGAAGGCGCGGACGAGAGGCAAGCTGATGGCTCTTTTGAGACTCAATGCTTGGGATTGAGCACTCATGGCCGTTTGGCGCCTATGACTTGTGCTGTGGCGGGTGCTGCTTCTGATGTCGCTTCGCATGCTAGCCGCCCATTCCAGGGTGCTTCCATTCCCCCTCCCATGAGTGCATCTCAGCACTCCTGCTTATCCTCTACCGCCGTCCTCCCTCCTGCGCGTCCTCCGAACTATCTTCATCTTCAGCAGCAGCATCGCATGCCCCCCCGTGCCTCCTCACGCCCTCCTGCCCTCTGCCCGTCTGTTGGCACCTCCCTGCTGCACCCAGCACTGCGCCACTCCAGGCTGGCAGGTGCAAGCCGTGTGCAGGGAGAGACTGCTGCTGCTGCTGCTGCTGCTGCTGCTGCTGCTGATGGTTCTGCTGCTGCTGCTGTGGGGAAGAATGCTGCTGACGGTCTTCCTTCAACAGCAAGAGCAGCAGCAGGCGAACTCCCTGCTATGCACACCACGGTGGCAACACAGGGGGATTGTGAGCATGTGGGGGAGAGGAGGGACGATGGGAGAGAAAATGAGAGGGGCATGGAGAGATCGTGGGGTAGAGAAAGGGAGTGGGACAGGGAGAGCGATATGCGGGACCTGAAGCTGTACGCTCCTCGTTTTAACCCTCTCTTTGAACCCAATGGTAACTCATGGGAGGGTGGTGATAGCAGAAGTGAGCGCAGCACAAGTGATGGTGTCAGGGATGTGGGAGAGTGGCCAGAGCAACAACAGGGGCGAGAGCAGGCACAGTGGCAGGATCGAGCACAGCAGGGGCAGGGGCGTAGACGTTCAAGCAGAGGGATTGGAGCGCTTGGGAGGAAGAGGCAGAGGGGGAGTGCAGGTCCGTGGAAAGGAAGCAGCACTGGCGGTGGGTACCGGAATGACAGTCCGTTTGGGGTTGCTCACTTGGGTTTGGTTGAAGGTGAAAGTTGGGACATGGGCAGCAGCAATAGAAGCAGCAGCAGCAGCAGCTCGTGCAGCAGCAGGAGAACAAACACCAGTAGCAGCCTGGGTGGTGGTGCATGTGCGAAGAGTGGTCCGTGGCGAGCAGTGTGCAGGGGACGACGAGGTGTTGTGGTGCGCGGGTTGATGCGGAGGCACAAGAAGGCAAGAGGCGTGCTGGTAGGAGGGAGAAGTGGCGCTGTGGAGGGTACAGGGGCCGAGGGTGGGCGTGCACAGGTGCATGATTGTGGAGGTGTTGTGAGCAGCTCATGTGCTGATGGTGATGCTGCTCGCACTTGTACTGTGGTGGGCACACAGGAGGGTGGGTTGGTGGAGGACACGGGGAGCGAGGAAGAGAGTGTGGATGCAGAACGCAGTGCAGGGGAGTGCACGAGGCAGGAGGGCGGGGAAGGCGAGGTGCAGTTGGCAGCAGGTGACGGCAGTGGCGGCAGTGGCGGCAGTGGTGGCAGTGGCTGCAGTGCAGGTGTGGGTGATGGCGCTGTGGAGGACGTGCCTTGGCAGCAGCAGCAGGTGGAGGGGCAGCTTGGGGGTGAGGTGGAGGCGGCCCTTGCAGCACAGGGCAGTGCGGTGGAAGGCATGCACGGCAGTGATGGCAGCAGGCAGGGAGGCGGTGAGGAAGAGGCGCTGGGGTTGACGAGCAGGGGGAGTGAGGTGGTGGTGTTGGGGAGTGGAGAGGGAGGGGATGGTCGGGGTGGTGGAGGGAGCAGGGGGGACGGCGACATGTGGGGTGATACGATGCTTGGTAGCAGGGTGCAGCGAGGGATGGGTCGTGGGACCAGTGGTGGAGGTGGTGGGACTTTCTTGGGTGGAAATGATGCGAGTGGAATTGTGGTACGCCCGTCCCTCTACCTGCACTCCTGGCGCTCCGCTCTGTGCGACCATACTGCTACTTGCAATGAGGAGCTCTCAGTGATGAGATGAGCTGCTACTTGTGATCAGCCAGTCACTAACGCTTCAATCCTCCTTCACATCCCCCCGTGCTTCTTTCAATTCTTCTTCCTTCCCATTTTGTATTTGCCCTTTCCTGTTTTGTCTCCAACTCAACCAACCTTCCCTCTCCCCCCTTTCTCCTCCCCCAACTGCGTGTCCAGGTGCTGGCGCATGTGAGGGTGCCCTTATCCGCGCTGCACGTGGTGCTGCTAGTGGCGCGCCCGTCTCTCCTGGCGCGCTGCCTCACTGCCTTCGCAGGGATCATCTGGGGGCCACGACCCTGGCGCTTGGGGGCACGCGAGGACGACAGGCGAGGGGAGAGGGGAAGGGGGGCTGAGTGGGGGATGGCGGATGGGCATGGTGACGGCATGGAGAGGGAGGGAGGGGGCCGCAGGTGTCGACTGCTCCTGTCAAACGGTATGATCCCCCCTCTCTTGCCCCTTGCCTACTTTCCAGCGTGTGCCTTCCATCCCTCTCTTGCACCTCTTTCTGAGAGTTCGTTCCTTCTCCCCATTGGGTGGGTGGGCCTTTTTCACATGGGGCACGTCGAAGCTGGCACTCAGTGCCAAATGAAACATGGCTCTCCTTGGTCCCTCATACCTGTGCTACACCCTCTCCCCTGATTCTGTTCCCAGGACCAAGCACGCCACCACGTGCACAGGCGATTGAACAGGGGCGGATCGAGGGAGACGGTGAGGGTGAGATGGAGGGAGAGGCAGGGGGACACACGAGCGTGCAAGAGCACGAGCAGGTGCCTCTTGCAGCAACTCCTCCTCCCATCACACCCGTTGCTTCCTCACCCATGCCATGCCTCCCTGCACCTGCTGCCACCACACGCACACACCAACCCTGCACGGCTCTCGCCCCTTTGCCTGCCAACCCCGCACCGCCTGTGGGTGGACCTCCCGTAACTGTTCCACACACCCCACCACCTTCACCACTTCCCATCTCCACGCCGCCATCATCACTTACACTCTTGACAGCAGAATCTGATGCAGCAGCACCATCTCGGCGACCGCACCACCACCCTGATCTCAAACCAGTCAACGAGCAGCAACCACACCGAATGCATTCCCAACGATTCCCTCACCGCTCTTCCTCTCTGCCATCGCACACATGCCATCCTCTCCCCCACCTGCCCATTGTGCTGCCAGCATCAGCATGCGTGCCGCACGTGGGCCTGGCGCAGCAGCTGAGCGTGGTGGCGTGGGAGCGCGTGCTGGCGGCCATGGCGGAGGGCAGGCGAGTGGATGCCGCCCTCTGGATGACCTGCCAGGCGCTCCTTGCTGCCACCCTCGCTGCTGGCTCCATGCTGGGCAGGTGCGCGTGAAGCGAGGCGAGAGGAAAGCGGGAGGGGGGGGAGAGAGTGGGAATGGGAAGGCGCATGTGGGCATGGCAGGTGGGAAGGGAAGCTGCTGGTAGACGCACAGAGAGTAGAGGAGTGTGTATGTGGCATGCTGGTCCTTTCCATGATCTCTTCTTTGTTGGGGGGCACTGAAACTCATTTCCATTCCCCTACTGTTCTGTTGCCTCTCTCCGTCGTGCTCCTCTTTCTGTCGCCCTCCTCTCTTGGCAATTCCCTCACCACCAGGTTCTTCCCGTCCCAATGGTAGCGCTCCAAGCTGTTGACGGAGAAGCACGTGGGGAGCACGTAGGAAGATTTGATTGATTGCCAACAGCAACGCTGGATGGTGCATGGAAGAATTTGGAATGCCAACTATATGTGGGCTGACGTTGTTGTTGTATGGCTTGGCGTCTACTATGCTGTTGCTTGTACACTGCTTGCTAGATCTTTGTTCTGGACATGTCTTCTGCATATTCGGCCTGCGCTTGTACAAATCTGATGAAGAAATATCGCAGTGAGGTGTTTCGTTATGTTTGCAAAACCAGTCTTGCTAGCAATGTGAACTTCTGACTAACTGTTGGAGAAGAGTTGAAACTACGGAGCTTGAACCAATTTTGCTTCACTGAGTAACTCGTGAAGATTGTGTCCTCCTTTCGTTTCTATGCAGGTAGTGATGTACTCAAATAGTGCACATGAGAGATGGTTCCAATAGGTTCAAGACGGAATATAAATCCTGTGTGTGAGCACTTGTGTGTAGTATCCCCCGCATGATCAGCATCAACATAGCCAAAAAGTTTTAGCTTAGCTTGCGGTTCTTGTGGTAGGTTAGTCCGACAATCGAAGTCGATTTGAAGCAGGATATTGCACCTTCTACTTACCTTAGGTTCTCCCCTTCATATCGCTTCACAAACTGAGCGAGTTGGCTAGCAGAATCGGAGAGATTGGGACGACAGGTAACTGTGGCGAACAGAGAATAGCCCAATAGCTGCTGATAGCGAGAGACCTCGTCAGAAGAAATCGATCCACCGTTATCCCTCTAGTTAGAACTATTACGATAAGGAATAGTTGAATGAACATTCCTAAGTAACGAATCCTTAACGTGAAGATGACTACAGTGAGGATGAAAGACCAAGCGATAAGACAGTTATCGAGACAGTTACAAGCAGGAAGAATTCGAAGTGCAAAACGCGGGAAAAGTTCAAACGGTTACCGGACCGCGTACGGTTACCGAACCGCATGGTTGCAATCCTGCATCTAGATTAGCCCTAAGGGGAATGTACCCCCTCAGAGTACATGGCTAGCTAGGACCTTTCGTATTCCACTGTATTCCTATATAAACCCCTGTACCGCATTGTATTAGACACTTCTGACGAGATTCAAATCTCCTTCTTCTGACAGAGTCTGTACCCGACATTACCTAGCAATCTTCCGATGCTACACTCCATGGGATCAACCTGAGACAATCCTATAAAACAGTTCAGATTGTATCAAGAACGATACGAAGAAGCCGCGGTAGTCGTCGGTATGTGAAATCTCTTGAAGAGGTTCTTGGCAATTGACAGGTGGATAGCTGTTCAAGTCACAGTGACAATATGAACAAAATAGTGGGTACAGTTGTCACAATCGTAAGCATAAGATCAGTTTGCAGCTCCCCTTCAAAGTAGCTCAGAACAGTAGCCAACATGCCAATGTACAATATGCGTTCTCGCGGTCAAGGCGGTACATGCCTTGATCATGAGGCAACTGATGAAAGCCGATTCATATGAGGCATTTTTGAATTGGTTGTTGCCACAAAGGCGGAACCTAATTTATCTCGCACATAAACGTGGTGAGCTTACGAACGTTTCAAAGGGTCGATCATGGTACCACGTGGTTTCTCGACAAGTTAATGCGCAGACGAGTGCATAAAGAAATGCATTTGCCACATCAATCTGACAAAACATGCATCCAAGTGCCGCGAGCGCGAGTAGAATTCGATGTAAAGTATGGCGACAAACAGTAGTGAAAGTTTGTGTGTGTGTGTGTATGTGTGTGTGTGTGTGCGTGTGAATGTTATTCTGCTTGAGCAGATATATGAAGTGACTCCTCTGCTCAAAGCTTTCCGATGAACCAAAGATCGCTTCAATCGGAGCACGAACGAAAAGGTTACGAACGGTTGAAGTTCGTATGCTTTTGGTATTTGGTTGCGACGACTAAGGGAATTTGTGGGGTGACTCTATATGGGGTATAGACCATTGGGGGTTGGGGATATTCGTCATCTTTACTGTAGTTGTTGCCAAGTGGTTGGGAGAAGCCAAACCAGGTTGGCAAGTGTGGCCAAGTTGGGTGAGGTTGATGGCATGGGTTGGGAAAGTGATGTTACGATATGAAATCCTTTGAGAAGGCATTCCTGTATGCTTCAGGAGCCGACTCTACCGAGTACAAAGTCAAGGAGTCAGAAGAGTCGAAGCGACGCTGGTAACCGTCTGACCAAGACCGATGCGAGCAGAAACATTTGAACTGAAAAGAGCGGGAACATGTTTGAAACGGGTTCCCGCGCCGCACGGTTTGAACTTCGCTGTAATAAGGGAATGTGCCCCTCAGAGTACATGGCTAGTATAGGTCGTTTCGTATTACTTTGCATTTCCTATATAAACTCGATGTATGCATGCTATTATCAATCTCAGTCATTTACATTCACTCTGACCTGAGGTCAACACTTCCGCTGCAACAGTACTCTGCGATCAACCCTGAGCGATCCTTCGCTAAGTCCCACATGGGATTGTAAAATGGTATGAGAGCTACTCAGGGATTCTTCGCAACTTCACTTCCGTGAAATTCGCCGAATCAAGATCTGGCAAGCGGCACACGCTCCAAGACCAAGATGGCCGGAGGATCCGGAGGCCAAGCGAATCTAATAGCCGAAGGGCAAACCAGCCTGGCTGCGACAAATGAGGCGACAACTACGATCAGCACTGCCGCACTCGAGCAGTTATTTTCGCGACTCTCAACTATGGAGAAAGACCTACACGAACTGTGCAAAGGCGATGCAGGAGCATCCTCCCAACCAGTTCAACCTGCACAACAGGCTGCGAAAAGCCGCGATACTGCTGCGCACACCTTCTCTCTCGACACAGACAAATCAACAACAACTGCCCCCCGTCCAAGTGATGAAGCTATCAATTTTGCGCAAGCATGTTTTCTCAGTGTTTCAAAAATCAAGACCGCTGCCGCATTTGATGGCAAGGACTTCGATACATGGAGTTTCGAGCTTGAGCTCCTCCTACAAACAGCGCAGATCTACCACTACTTCGACGGCTCCTACGCTAAACCGGTGGAAGACACCGAAGACGCCAGGGCTCAGTACTACAGCGAGTCCCTCATGGCGGTGTGCTGCTACGCAATATGACGCTTGCGGAACAACTCAGCATTCGCTCCTACAAAGAGAGCGCCGCTCCAGCACTAGAAGCCTGGAAGCACCTCATTGAGGTATATCAGCCGAAGGATTCAGTCGCCGCTAGCAGGCTTCTGCAGCAACTCATGGAGACCAAGATGGGGCACGGGGAGAAAGCAAACTCATATATCAACCGCTGTTAGAACATTCGTGACCAAATCACGAAACATGCAAGCGCCATTTCTGAGGAGATCTTCGTCAACATCGTCCTCCAGGGACTCGGGCCAGAGTGGAAGCCCTGCAAAGCGCTGCCCCAACAACGAGGAATTATCTATGAAGCGGCACTATGCGCCGCCCTGCTGACTGAACAGCACGACATGGATTCGAGCAGGACAAGCTCCGCACCACGTCGAGAGTGCCTCGCCTTCTACACAAACAACCGTGAAGAGCGACGACAGCCACGGCGCCATTATTGCAAAATCATCTAAGTCTTCAGACACTCAACGGACCGATGCAAGTCCCGGTCTAACTATCGCCACTCAAACTCCTCTCACCATAATAATTGGGTCGGCCGACAAGACGCTCGTCATTTTCAGCCTTAGCAACAAGCTTCACGCCCTCCTGCACAACACCAACAGCAACAGCAGAAAAAAGGACCTCAAGCGGGAGCTCCCAGAAACGTGATCGCTAACATGGCGACAAGACGTCGCCCACGCGCTGCTAAGCCAGATGAGGAAGAAGAACCTCGCGATGGACTCAGTCAACCTGAAGAAGGGTGTAACAATCCCCTCACAAAGGATCACTATTGCCAGTATGATGAGGACGAGCAAGATTGGCATCAGCCAATCATGAGCATCAGCGATTTGTGCCTGTGGGATGGAAGGAGGATGAAGATCCATCGTTCCACAGAAGGTACAAGACAACCCTGGTGACTCCGTGACTCGCTCTAATTTTGTGCAAAGACTACAAAAACCAACAAACCTGGTACCTGGACAGCTGCTGAGGCCAGCACTGTTATAGACACAGTAGGCTCCAATGTGCCTAAAACGAAAGATAGAGTGCACAGTCGGATTTCTACACAGCGACTTTAAACGTTCATACCGTTATGGTTACAGATTGGAATGACCTGATTCAACTTGGATCTAGAGCGTCTTTACGTCATCTACAAAAGGCAATTTAGATCGCACGATTTTACCAAGTATTGACGACACAGCGTCAGTTTGAACGAACGGTACTATGGTAGCCACTCTAGTCTTAGAACACAAGATAGGAAGAGTTACAAGTTGGGAATGACTCCCAGCTCCTACAAACCCCAAAAGCCGAGGTACAGTGATGTGGAGTAGTGCCACACTGTCCCCAACCACAAAGGGTCTCGAAACTATCCTTCACTAGGGCCTACACCAAGCGAAATGTTACACTACACAAAGTAATGTAACTATCTTCAATATCTTGAGGTGTACCCTTTTGGCGTGCTTTAAAATCACTTGAGGCTTGACACCAAGGCTCGGGCTCTTCATCACAAACCCATCCTTGAGTTCTTGATGGGTCTGCTGCACACACCTGCGACACGCCGAACGTTCGACACAGGACAAAATAGAAACC